CCTATACCTTCTTGCTTCCTTTATTCCTAGTTCTTCAATTTCATCTTTTTTCCGGCCATTTTGCTTTTCTTCCACCTAAGTGGTTTCCTAAGGCATTGATGCTTTTTATGTATAAGATTTTACTGCCATTTTTGGTGGTGGTATTAAGGTAATTGTTAAGTCCCTAACTACAATAAGATAATATCAGTGATATAATTAACATAATGTCTTTGTAATTTCTCTGCAATGACTTGTTTGACAATACACATTTTGCAGTTGTTTAGGTTTATTTTCCTAGGTGAGTTGGAGAAATTACTTCAAATTTTCTTATTTTCTAGTAAACAGGTGGAAATGCTTCAAATTTTATTAAAAGAAAAGCTTATCTTGGAAGGACTTTACAGTATCACATCTTATATCATCAAAGAAACTGTCAATCCACATTACAAATGTTAGAATGCTATTTTAGCCTTTGGATTTAAAATTAATCTGAGGATGGTGTCACAATCATGTACCTAGCATAGTTGAAAAGACCATGAGTCCTTCCCACATGTCAAAATTTGACTTACATTTGTAGACACAAGCTGTTAGAAAGTTTTTTTTTTAGAGAACTGAAGCTCTGTTTTCCAAGTCTACATAAAGCTTGTTCTTAAAAGGAATCTCTCATCTCTTATTCAGTGGCCACTTGTACTGTTTACCATTATCCTATTCATACATTAGATTAATTAAAGCTCCCCTACTCTGTATCACAATGTTAGCCAACTTTGAAACAGTCCCCATTCAAATTCTTATTCCCCCTTCAAAATAACCGATACTGCAGTTAAGATATATGGTTGCTTGGTGTAGATAGTTGTTTTGAGTCTTATGATCTCAGAATGAACAAACGTGTGCCTTTATCAAAGGTCTAAATCAAAGTTGTCCCATAGAACTTCTGGTGAAGGTGAGAATGGTTTTCTATACTTTCCCATAAGATAGCTATGAGCCACATACGGCTATTGCACCTTTGAAAGGTGGCTATTGTGACTGAATGACTAACTTTTAAATTTTATTTAATATTTTAAACACTATTTTTTAAGGCCAGTTTTAGGTTCATAGAAAAATTGAAAGGACGGTATAGAGATTTCCCATATAATCTCTGCACCCACACATAGCCTCTCCGTTATCAAAGTCCCGCACCAGAGAGGGACTGTACATTTCTTACAATTTATGAACTTATATTAACACATCACAATCACTCAAAATTCACTGTTTACATTGGCTCACTCTTGGTGTCCTACATCCTATTGGTGTGGACATGCGCATAGTAAGACAGGTCCATCATTATAATATCATACAGAGTATTTTCCCTGCCCTAAAAATCCTCAGTGCTCTGCCTGTTCATCCCTCCACCTTCCCTAACCCCTGGCAAACACTGGTCTTTTTACTGTCTCCAAAATTTTGCCTTTGCCATAATGTCATAGAGTTGGAATCATACAGTATGTAGCCTTTTCAGATTGGCTTCTTTCACTTAGTAGTGTGCATTTAAGGTTTCTCTATGTCTTTTCAGGACTTGATAGCTCATTTCATTTTAGTGCCAAATAATATTCCGTTGTCTGGCTGTATCACAGTTCATTTATCCATTCACCTATTGAAAGAAATCTTAGCTGCTTCCAAGTTTTGGCAATTAGGAATCAAAATGCCTTAAATATCTGTGTGTAGGTTTTGGTGTGGATATAAGTTTTCAACTCCTTTGGGTAAATAGTAAAGAGTACAATTGCTAGATTATAGAGTAAGAGTATTTTTAGTTTTGTAAGGAAGCACCAAACTGCCTTTCAAAGTGGCTATACCTTTTTGCATTCCCACCAGCAACAAATGAGAGTTCCTGTTGCTTCACGTCCTCCTCAGCATTTGGCATTGCCAGTATTCTGGATTTTGGTCATTCTGGTACTTGTGTAATGGTATCTCATTTCAGTTTGCATTTCTTTAATGACATGATGCAGAGCATCTTTTTATATGTTGTTTTGCTGCCTGTATACCTTTTTTGGTGAGGTGTCTGTTAAGGTCTTTGGGCCATTTTTTAATTGGTTCCTTGCTTGCTTACTGTTGAGTTTTAAGACTTCATATATTTCGATAACAGTCCTTTATCAGATATATCTTTTGCAAATATTTTCTCCCAGTTTGTGTCTTGTCTTCTGTTCTCTTGACTTTGACTTTTGAACAGTTTTTAATTTTAATCAAGTCCAGCTTATCAATTCTTGCTTTCATGTGCTATATCTTTGGTATTGTATCTAAAAAGTCATTGATATACCCAAAGTCATCTAAATTTTCTCTAGTTACCTTCTAGGGGCTTTATAGTTGCATTTTACATTTAGATCTGTGATCCAAATGTAATTTTTTTTTAAAGATTTTATTTATTTATTTGAGAGAGAGAGAATGAGAGAGAGCACATGAGAGGGGTTACGGTCAGAGGGAGAAGCAGACTCCCTGCAGAGCAGGGAGCCCGATGCGGGACTCAATCCAGGGACTCCAGGGTCATGACCTGAGCTGAAAGCAGTCGCTTAACCAACTGAGCCACCCAGGCGCCCAATCCAAATGTAATTTTTATAAAAGCTGTAAGTTGTGCATCTAGATTCATCTGTGTGTGTGTGAATGTCCAATTATTCTAGCATTATTGGTTGAAAAATTATCTTTTCTCCATTGCATCGCCTTTGTTCCTTTGTCAAGTATTAGTCAACTATATTTATGTGGGTCTATTTCTGGTCCCTCTATTCTGTTCCATTGACATATTTGTCTATTCTCTCATCAATACCACATTGTCTTGATTAGGGTAGCTTCATAGTAAGTCTTAAAGTCAGGTCGTGTCAGTCCTCCAACTTTGCTCTCCTTCAATACTGTGTTGGCTATTCTGGATATTTTGCCTCTTTATATAAACTTTACAATAAGTCTGTTGATATCCACCAAATAATTTTTTGGGATTTTGATTGGGATTGCATTGAATCATAGATCAAGTTGAGCACTCACATCTTGACAATATGAGATTTTTTCCCCTTGGTTTTCCTATCCATGAACATGGAATACCTTCCCATTTATTTAGTTCTTCTTTGATTTCATTCATCTAAGTTTGTAGTTTTCCTCATATAGATCTTGTAGATATTTTGCTAAATTTATGCCTAAGTATTTCATTTTGGGGGGTGCTAATGTAAACTACATTGTGTTTTCAATTTCAAATTCCACTTGTTCTCTGTTGGTATCATTTTATTTAATTTTAATTAAAATTTAAATAGCTTCATCTTGCTCGTGGCTACCATTTTAGTCTAGTCTCTAGAAAATACAGTCATGAATTATTCCTTTTTTAGGAATTATTGCCTTTTAAGAATAAATGTAAATGGGAACACCTAGGTGACTCAGTCAGTTAAGTGTCTGCTTTCAGCTTAGATCATGATCCTGGAGTCCTGGGATTGAGCCCCACATCAAGCTCCCTGCTCAGCAGAGAGTCTGCTTCTCCCTCTTCCTCTGCCCCTCCCCTTGCTCCTGCTCTCTCTTGCCCACTCTCTCTCTCTCAGATAAATAAAATCTTAAAAAAAAAAAGAAGAAATGTAAATGTTATTATTATACCAAAGTAAAATGCTGCACCAAAACATTTACACTGACTTATTTATTTAATATATATGAAATATATCAGGCACTATGTACCAGTTGTCATACGCATGCTATGGAGCATTGAGGAGCTCAGACTATTTAGAGATGTAGTAAATAAAAACTGCAATACAGTTTTGCTTGCTATTATAGACAACTGAATAAAGAATTGCGGGGACACTGCATACAGAATAATGGTAGGAATTTATTTTTTTTAAAGATTTTATTTATTTATTGACAGAGGGAGACATAGTGAGAGAGGGATCACAAGCAGGGGGAGGGGGAGAGGGAAAAGCAGGCTTCTCACTGAGCAGGGAGCCCGATGCGGGGCTTGATCCCAGGACCCTGGGATCATGACCTGAGCCGAAGGCAGCCGCTTAACGACTGAGCCACCCAGGTGCCCCTAATCGTAGGAATTTAAAAAGGTTTCGTTGAAGAGTTTTATTTAATCTGGGACGTCACGGAAGAATAAGTTACAAAATAAATAAGAGCGTGGTGCTGTGAGGAATAAGACAGGCATTCCAGAAAGATATGGAGTCCTGAAAAGGCTTGGTGTATCTAGGCCACTACTTCACATGTGGTGTGCAGTAGTTGATGCTGCCAAAAAGTAGAATCCGGGCTCATGGAGGCTTATTTGTAAGGAAGAAGTTTGAATGCCAAGTGGTCACACGGTACACTATACTTTTCCTACTGCATTTATACTTTATACTAAGTACTTTTTTAAAAAATCTGCTTTATTGACTGCCTTCGGCTCAGGTCATGATCCTGGAGTCCCAGGATCGAGTCCCGCATCGGGCTCCCTGCTCGGCAGGGAGTCTGCTTCTCCCTCTGACCCTCCCCCCTCTCATGTGCTCTCTCTCTCTCATTCTCTCTCTCAAATAAATAAATAAAATCTTTAAAAAAAATCTGCTTTATTAGATTTATAAGTTGTTTATGGCAAGATCATGCCTGCCTTACCAACCAATGTACTCCATGGTATCGGATAGAGAATCAATAAGTCTGTTATATGAATGAATGTTTCTGGTTGTTCTGAAGCTTGATACCCTTTGGAACCACACCACCTACCCTCTTCCAAGCTACCTTCTTGACTTCTGCTCTTCTGCCTCTTGGCTGGCAATCACTTTGCCAAACAGTGTGGCTGTTTGGTGGCAGTACTTAGTATCAGGTTTTGTGACTGTGTTCTCTGCATTTTAAATAAAGTTGGGAACTTTGCTGGACAAGTACCTTTGTGGCATTGGATTTGAGTCACCCCGAATAAGAGACTGAGATTGGAAAAGACCTGGAACAATTCCCCTTCACCAACTCTATAGCGCATGCAGTTAAAAGGAATGAAAATTTTTCTTTTACAGTGAAAAGTTAGGTATAAAAATAAAAGAGGACAAGAAATTTACTCCAGAGTAAATACCTACCTTTTACTGATATCAATGCAGGGTAAAGCGAAATAAACGTGTCTTTTGCCTCCTCCATTTCATCCGTAGCCATATATACGCATTATCGTATGTTTCTATTTCTTCATTGCTTGATGGAGCCAATCTTCCCCAGAGGAGAAATAGGAAAGAATAACAGTCTAAATCTAGAACACCATGAAAGCAATGCCCAGCCTTTTTGGTACCCGAATTAGTCATCTTTGTGCAAAAAAATAGAGTACCTACCTTCAGTACTGTGTCCCACTTGTCTCCCAAAAGGTACTCTGTGCCCTGTGCCCACGTAAAAATTAGCATGATACCCAATGGACTGCTCCTTGTTAATAACTAGGGAAGAAGAGATATTACTAATTGCAGGCACAGGCACATCTCCTCCCCGCTCTCTCCCCAAAAAACAAATGAAGGGCAGAAGAAAAAGAAAATTCGTTAATCTGATTATCAGTGCCCTGAAACATTAGTTACAATACAAACAAAGACCGAAAGTAGCACTTTTCTAACTTGCCCCCTCCTGCATCCCACCCTTTTGCGAGAACCTCGCCACCTGGCTTCCAGCAAAACCCTGCGGCTTCACAACAGGGAGGACGCCCCGCCCACGCGAAGTGGGCGGGGCTACGGCTCTTCCGGCACGCCCCTGCCGGAGCGGGGCGCACGCGTTCGGTATCTGCGTCGGGGAAGGAGTCTCTTGTCCCTCCGCGCGGCCCGTTCCGCCTCGGCTCCCGCTGCATTTAGGCTGACGTGTCTGCAGTTCTTCGGCGGCTCGGCGAGTAGGGCCGTGATGGCGGATGCCTGGGAGGAGATCAGGCGGTTGGCGGCTGACTTCCAGCGGGCGCAGTTCGCCGAGGCCACACAGAGGTGCCGACCCTCCCTCTCCGTTGCGGAGTCCAAAATAGCCCCAGGGCAGCCACGCCGTGATCTGAGGCCGGGGATTCCTGGCTCTGGACCCCGCACTTCCCCCTCTGTGTCACCGTTTCTGGCTTCTTCCTCCTCCCATAACCTGGATTGCAGTTCCAAGTACAGTTCTCGGCGGTGAAGCCCGAAAGCTACTACGGCCCGGAACCCCCCGAGCCATGCCCCAGCCAAGAGCTGGCGCGCCCCGCCTTTTTGATGGCCGAGACTGGTGACTTCTAGCTGTCATGAGAGGGTCCCTCTGATCCTTATTTACCCGTCAAGTCCCTATGGCATCATTAACTATTACACATTTCCTGACCTAGAATAAGCTGGAAAGGAGAGGCTAACGCCAAAATACAGTACTTAGAAAATGCTATGTTGACTCTAAACATTTTGCCTTTGTGTGCACCGGAAGAGTTGTGCTAGGCCAGACCCATGGTCCCATCTGTCATTTTTAAGGACTCCTGGACACTGGCATTTCTTGCAAACCCAGAAACCTTGGGGGGATGTGTCCTGGGCATCCTAGCTCTGCTTTTTAATGTTACAGAATACATATACAATGTTAATAGAATCCTTTTCTATTCGTTGACTGTCTATTACCTTTGATGTTTTTGTGCCTTCTGGGGCTTGAAGACCTTTATTCCTTAATACTGTATTTTGTAGCACTGAGAGCAAACTAGGGCAAATGCTTAAGTGCTTGGATAACAGTTGCAGTCATGGTTTTCCTAGGCCATATCTCCTGCCTACCGACCAATAGTAGTAGTGAAGCAATCACACACTTAATTTAAAAGAAAATTCTGGTTTGTTTGGTTTTTTATTGAACTTAAACTAGAAATTGAAGTAAAAGGGCAGGGTTTTTTCCTACCTAAATTACATGTCCTCACTTTTCTATTCAGATTTGAAGAGTAGAAGCAGGCCCAGGGGAGAGAGCAGACTTGAAATTCTGTAATAGAATGATTTGTACCAATTAGGTACATGATTTAAGCTTACGTAAACCTGCTTGCTCCCAAGAGGGTTTTTTTTTTTAACTTACTGAATCAGTATGGTTACACTAATAAGAGATACAGATTTTGTAATATAGAACCTAGGGACTCTTCACCCAAACTTTTTTTAAAAAGCCCATTTTCATACGTTGTTAATTTTGTTAAGCACAAATGTACCAAGTTCATTTTTAAAACTTCTTGTGTCTCTCAGGTTGTCAGAGCGGAACTGCATTGAGATTGTGAATAAATTGATTGCTCAAAAACAGCTAGAAGTAGTTCACACACTTGATGGGAAGGAATATATTACACCAGCTCAAATTAGTAAAGAAATGAGAGATGAGCTACATGTCCGAGGTGGTAAGTATTCCTTATTTTTTTCCTCTGGTTATTTGGAAGGGAAAAAACAACTTAAAACATAAATAGTAAATTATTTGGAGGGTATAGGACACTCTTCTCAGCTGTTAATATAAAAATCAGCCTTAATATTTTTAATAGCTTCGGGTAAAGGTGGTCATATAATTTAAAAGAAGTCAAATATTGTCACCTTACAAAATAGCATCTTTTATTATTATGAGTTATGTGTTCTATATGTAAATTAATCAACTGTTTCTTTTTTTTAAATTCAAAAGATTTAATTCATAAGCAGAATTAAATGTACAGAACTCTCTTTATTTTTTATTTTATTATGTTATGTTAATCACCATACATTACATCGTTAGTTCTTGATATAGTGTTCCCTGAGTCATTGTTTGCGTATAACACCCAGTGCTCCATGAAGAACATGCCCTCTTTAATACCCATCACCAGGCTAACCCATTCCCCCACCCCCTCCCCTCTAGAACCCTCAGTTTGTTTCTCAGAGTTCATAGTCTCTCGTGGTTCGTCTTCCCCTCCGATTCCCCCCCCTTCATTTTTCCCTTCCTACTATTTTTTTTTTTTTAACATGTAATGTATTATTTGTTTCAGAGGTACAGGTCTGTGATTCATCAGTCTTACACAATTCACAGCGCTCACCATAGCACATACCCTCCCCAATGTCTATCACCTGGCCACCCCATCCCTCCCATCCCCCCACCACTCCAACAACCCTCAGTTTGTTTCCTGAGATTAAGAATTCCTCATATCAGTGAGGTCATATGATACATGTCTTTCTCTGATTGACTTATTTTGCTCAGCATAATACCCTCCAGTTCCATCCATGTCGTCGCAAATGGCGAGATTTCATTCCTTTTGATGGCTGCAATGTAATCAACTGTTTCTGTTCACAGTCCGTAAATTTAGTGCATGACTCGGGAGGGTACTTAGCTATCTATCATCAGGTGGTAATTATGAAAGGAGAACAGAGATTTTAAAGGATTATAGATTGTTGATAGGGCTATACTACCACACTCTTTAAAAATTTACCTTTAAGTATTTGCAAATTAGGAAACAATATGGTGCTACACCTGTTATAATGTAGGAAATGCTATTACAGGTACATGAAGTTTTTGTTTTTCTTTGTCTTTTTAAAATGTGAACAAACTACTGAGCAAATTTGAACACTATTTGATTAACATAGAAGCAACTATGAAAATACCTCTTCATTAGATGTTATCAGATACACCCTTGGTGTTGGTTCATCTTCCTGCATAATGCTAAGAAAATATCAGGTACAATTTGGAATACTTGACAGATTTTCTTTTGCCAATAGGTGGAAATCTTCTCATTTCAAAAATTTAAAAAGTTCATCTGAATTTAGTTGTATCTCTTTGGTCACAGTTAGGTAAATTGTGAAGGGAGGTAAATCTTAAATCAATAGGTCCGGCCGGCCAACTTGTGAATCGGTTGATGTTCATTATTGGCCTGATGTGACCTAATGAAACTTCAAAAGTAAATTATTGCCTGTGCCTTCAGTATAAAGAATTATTCTGCTAATGGTTTGTATTTGAAAACATTAATTATTGTGGCTTTATGTCCTTTGTAGAAGGAGGACTTCGACTGCCCAAAATGTAAATCTGTCGATATTTACAGTTTTTGGCTTGTGTGTACTTACATGTAAATATGAAATCAATAAATGTCTTTTCTTTAAAGGTCGAGTAAACATTGTTGATCTGCAACAGGTAAATTTTAAATTTATAAAGTTTTTTCCTTTCTCAATTTTTTGGTACTATGACTTAAGTATTCACTAATACTGGTATCTTATTTTGTATAATGTTTGTGAAGAAATAGTTTTATAGTCCTCACTAATACATTTAATCAATTTAATAAGTTCTGATATATTGACTTGATTTAATAAGTTCTTCTTTCTCAGTTATTTACTTATTCTTTACCAAATAAACTCATAGTTGTCATTTTATGTAATTACAGGGTTTATGTAATTTGGAGAGAAAAATAACTGTATATGCTTTTAGTATATGGAAGGAATAGGGAAATTTTTTAAAGTAGAAGATATTTTTAGAACATATAAGTGTGCATGTCATTAGCAAGGTACACTATATTACAAGAAGTTGGAAAATCTTGTGTAAATTGTGCCTGTTGTATGAAAATGTAGCTTCTTAATGCAAACTTTCCTAGCAAGTGAAAATGTAGTTGTTCAGAAATGAAAGTTAATAAGCAATAAGCTTCTAATTTTTTATTTGAGACTTTTCACAATATTTCAAATTAATTTGAAATTCATCTAAGAGAAAGTAAGTTTTTAAAAAGGTAGTTCTAATATGTAACTTCAAACTCAAGAAACAATATGAACTTATCACTAATAGAATTTTATTTATTTTCCAGGTAATTAATGTGGATCTGACTCATATTGAAAGTAGAATTGGTGACATTGTAAAATCAGAAAAACATGTGCAGCTAGTGTTGGGACAACTGATAGATGAGTAAGTACAGTATTTAAGAACACTTTTTTTTTTTAATGTTTAAATTTAGAACAATTGTGACCAGTTTGGCATTTTGTTTAGAACTCTCATATGCTGATTTTCATCGTTGAGATCATTGTACTTAAAAAATAAGTGCTTAATTGGATGGAGTACTTGGAAATAATAAAAACTTTAAATTTTTTTGCCTATTATTTTAAAGCAGCACAAAACATAATTTTTACAGTCTTTCCTGTATGATCTTAACTCTGAAAGCAAATTGCTTCCAAAACTGTTAATGAAAAACGATTGCAGGAATTTACATTGTTAAAAAAAAATCTGAGCATTTATCATTTGGTTGACCTTATATTTAGTTGCATTGATAAGAAAAAAAATAATTTTCAGAATATGAGTCATGAATCGTGTTTACCTAAACATACCCTATTCATTATTTTGTTGGCATATATTATTGCACAGAAATTAAACATAAAAGAGGAAAATCATTACTCCTAATTTTTTTTTTTTTTTTTTTAACTCTTAGGAACTATTTGGATCGGTTAGCAGAAGAGGTAAATGATAAATTGCAAGAAAGTGGTCAGGTCACCATATCAGAGCTGTGTAAAACCTATGATCTTCCTGGAAACTTTCTGACACAGGTATTTTCTCTTAATAGTATAACGTCTTTTCAGATAAATAAAGAATTTTAATTGGAAGAAAAAAAACTAGATTTTCTTACCATTAATTTTTTTGCAAGTATTTGACTATTGATGTTGTAGCAGTATATTTTGGGGATACTTCCTGTACATTGATGGCTCTGATTAGATCATTTAGAAATGATTATTTCTTTGTTCTTAAAA